TCTCTTCTGCACCTTTTCCAGTTCCACAATGTCTTTTTTGAGGTGCAGCGACCAGAACTGTATACAATACTCCAGATGTAGCCTTATCAGCATTTTGTACAATGGCATTATAATTTGGGCTGTTTTATTTTTATAATAAATAGGTCCATTTGTGAATTGTTGTAGAGCTGCACGCTGCCACTTCATATTTGGAGCTTAGAAGACAGGGGACTCAGCAGAGTTTTTCTGCCCATGTTTATAAAATACAGTAGTACCTCAGTTTACGAACGCTTCGGGAATCTGGCTTCCTGTAACTTGAGCCATTGCTATCAGTCCTGCATTTTGAGATGATTGAGCACAGATTCTGCCCCGCCTGTGTGACAATCTTTCAGATATTTGAAAAATACTATCACATCTCCCCTCAGTCTTCTTTTCTCAAGGCTAAACAGGCCAAGTTCTTTCAGTCTTTCCTCATAGGTTCTGATTTCTTGTCCCTGGTTCATCCTTGTTGCCTTCCTCTTAATTTGTTCCAGTTTGTTGGCATCCTTCTTAAGGTGTGGTGTCCAGAACTTGGGCATACTGTATTTTTTCACGTATAAGACAATACTTTTCTCTAAAATCTTTAAACTAAAAATTGAGGGTCGTCTTATTCACAGAAGTAAGCCAAGGAGAGAACTGTGCAATTGCAAAACTGCCCATATGTTGCCTCTGCAAACAGGCTGTCTAAAGTCATGAGCCTTATGTAAATTACGTCAGCTGATACTGAACAAACCAATTGGAACACAGTTCCATGGAGGTGGAGCATGTAGGCAATGCTCGGATGCAACGCATAACGTCCGAGTGTTCTGAGCCCAGAGGCTGAATAAAGTGATATGCTCAAAGCTATGTGTGATGCATAACATGACAGTACTGGTGTATAAATATTACCCAATTACTAAATACAAATGTGTTCTGTTTTATGTTTAAAATATTGATTTCTTAATTTGGGGTTAGAAAAGGGGGTGTCTTATACATGGAAAAATACAGTAGTACTTGTTATGAGGCCTGATCAGTGCTGAATAGAGTGGCAAACATTTTGACTAAGTTATATAGCACAGTCACATCCTTCATTCCTCTGAAATGTGACCCAAATTTATTGAGTCTGGAGGTGACTGTTGAAATTATTTTTCTGTTGTGGATAGAGAGACCTTTATTTTTTAAAAAAGTAGTGACATTGTGGCTGTGTACAATGTATCTGAAAATAGTAGAGAGTTTCCAACCTTTCTCTTGTAAAAGAAACCATTGAATATTTGTCATTATCTAGGAAACCCTGGAGCAAACACCTGCGGATTTCTTTACCTCATTTCAAATGTTCAACAGCACTTTTAAACTCTATACGCACAGGTGAGTGAGGAGATGCTATACTAGTTTCTCTTTTTTCAGAACTCACGGTTATTGTTGAACTCCTGTCAAATGGAACATTTACATAAATACCGGTAATATAGAAAGTATACTCTTACATTTTTAATAATTTTTTTACTGTTTGCCAGAATAATGCAAAAGCCTTTTGCAGAGTCCTAGCTTCATGTGTCTTCCTTCTCATTATAAGAACATAAGAATACCTGCTGGATCAGGCCAAGGACCCATCTAGTCCAGATTCCAGTATCTCACAGTGGATCCACCAGATGTCACCGGGAGCACACGAGACAACTAGATACCTGTCTCCTGATACCCCTCCCCTGCACCTGGCATTTTAAAGTAAATTCCTTTTAAGCCTAGAGATTATACATCCCCATCATGGCTTGTAACTTGCAGTGGACTTTTCCTCCCGAAATCTGCCCAATCCCCTTTTAAAGGCATCTTGGTCAGATGCCATCACCACATCCTGTGCCAAGGAGTTTCACAGACTAACCACACACTGGGTAAAGAAATATTTTCTTTGGTCTGTTCTCACTCTACCGACACTCTGCTGGAGTGGATGTCCCCTGGTTGTAGTATTGCATGAGAGGGAAAAGAGCTTCCCTCTATCCACTTGATCCACCCCTGCATAATTTTATATGTCTCAATTGTGGGCCCCCTCAGGCACCTTTTCTCTAGACTAAAGAGCCCCAAATGCTGTAGCCTGTCCTCAGAAGGGAGGTGCCCTAGCCCAGTCATCATTTTAGTCACTCTCTTCTGCACCTTTTCCAGTTCCACAATGTCTTTTTTGAGGTGCAGCGACCAGAACTGTATACAATACTCCAGATGTAGCCTTATCAGCATTTTGTACAATGGCATTATAATTTGGGCTGTTTTATTTTTATAATAAATAGGTCCATTTGTGAATTGTTGTAGAGCTGCACGCTGCCACTTCATATTTGGAGCTTAGAAGACAGGGGACTCAGCAGAGTTTTTCTGCCCATGTTTATAAAATACAGTAGTACCTCAGTTTACGAACGCTTCGGTTAACGTAATTTTTGGTTTACGAACGGAAATCCATTGAAAATAATACCTCAGTTCATGATTTGTTTTCGCAGTACGAAGGAAGTTTCCCCAGGATGCATTGTGCCTGGAGATTTATAGCACCACCCCCGTTCCTATAGCAAACCATGTTTCGGTTTATGAATTTTTCACATTGCATAACGTCCTGGAGAATGCATTAAATTCATAAACCAAGTTACTGCTGTAGGTTGCTGCTTCTTTTCCATACTTAACAAAATGGACACAAATTTGAGTGAGTGTTTTTTGTCCATTACAGCTATCTGGGATTTGGACTGAAAGCTGCAAGACTAGCAACTTTGGGTGCCTTGGAAATGGAAGGTATAGTCGGAAAGTATAACTGTATATATGTGTCTGTTTGTCTTATATTGTCAGGTGTCTTGTGCTTGGTTCTCTGCTTTCGGGCAGCATTTTGTTTGGAAAAGGAAGACAGCACATATTTTCAATATAGCGCCATTGCATGAATGGAGAACAGTAAAGAATGCAAGTGGACAGTAGTGGGAGTAACACCACATTCTAAGAGGAAGATGTGAGAGAACCTCTGGTAGGCAGGTCAAGGACACAGAACGTATTTGATAACATGCTGCTAAAAAAATAACCTGGGATGACTTTTCCAGGCTGAAGTAGGCCAGGGAGCACAAGTATTATATTTTGAGCAAACTTTAAAAAAACGAAGATTCATTGGATTGAAATATGGAATGGCAGCCAGTTGTACATTTTATTAGAAAAATGGCCATCTAGATTTCTCAGATTCCTTTTTTTGGGGCCAAAAATTAGCCCCACTAGTTCGTCAGGTTATTGTTTTGGCAACTGCTTTTAGCTAGTATTGTCAACTGATGTAAGACTGTTATTGTACTCATTGCTTGGCTTTTAATCAATGAATTAATGACATTTGTATGACTGTATGTATTACCAATAGATGTTCTGTAGTGTATTGGAGTGCTGTTGTAAGTCACAACATAAATATAAAACTGGAAGAAGAAAGTCTTCCTTAATATCCTCTTTTTCATCCATCGATGAATCTGAAATGCTGCCTGTTTCAGATAGTTTGTTTCAATTCTAATATTAGGAACAGACACAATTAAGAACAAAGTACTCTAATATTTTCACTTGAAAGAAGAATCCAGCACTCTCCTGGGTTACTTCTGCTGAAATACATAGGATTCAGAAGTATTTATTCTTGATTAGATCATGCCCATCAGATTCATCTGAACATTGTGAACTGCATTTACTTGGCATACACCAGGTGGGAACACCTGATGATCTCATCCTGAAATGTAAAACGGCTTCAAGCGTTGGGTGAGTTGAGATGATTGTGAGGCTTTGTGTATCATGCAGATCGTATCACATCCTTCACTGCTACTCCTGTCAATTAAAAATGAGGGCTGGTGGAATTTTAATGTGCAGTTTTAAACTGTAGTTCATTGACCTAACCTACTCAATTGATTAAGCCTTTTAGTTCTGCCTATAGAGTCTGTCACCGGGTAGGTGGGGCTCATCAGCCTTGGAAGGCAGCCCATCCAGGAGAAGGAAAACTCCGATTTCAAACCTCCACTGCCTCCACTGATGGAAAAGGCTTCAGGAATAAACATCGAGGCAAAATCCAGAGCTGGAGTCCCGGGGGCAGTTCATGTCATTTTGGCAACTCCTGTGATGTTGCTGGAACCAGTTGTATTGGCTCTTGCCTTTCCATTGGACAATTTCAGCGACATGGAGAGGGGGGATTTGCTGCTTGGGTAACAGCCTATTCTCCATATTATTCTACCCAGGCTTCGTGCTCTGAAGAGGACACTCATACAGAATGTGTTACCATGGTCTTTTAAGATTGTGGGATGCCTAAGAAGAGTCTGTCATCTCTTCCTATGCAGTCTTAGCATCTCTTTTTCTCAGCTGCCCAGGGGCGAATAAATTCCTTTGAACATAAATATGTCAGCTTTCTACTCAATGGAATATTTGTTTGCCTCTGTACTCATTTGTTATGTTAGAGCTAAACAGACAGCGGTGTGGCACAGTATATTTGGAGCATAAAAGCATTGCTTTGCTTTTGAGGACTGTAATACAGATACTTAACCTATAGTTTCTTCATATGGATTTTATTCCAAAATTTTCATTCTCTGTTGCACTGCTAGAGAGGGTACTTGAGGATGGTGGCAGTGTACATTTCCATTTACTTTGGTAAACAGAAGAAAAGGTGTGTCCACATTCACACCTTTGCCCTGCAAAATCAGATGTAACAAAATCAGATGCAATAGGCACTCCTTTCTGAAGGTGCATTTCATAACATGTATGTACTTAAAATCATACCCAAATCTAATAGGTATTCAGGGTTTAGGATCTAGCAATAGAATTTCTTTCATATGGATCTAAACTCATTTTTCTTGCAGACCTTTCTTGTAAGTGAGAGGGCTGAAAATCTTGGCTGGCCTAAGATTTTGCTGTGTTGAGGTGAAAAAGGCCCTCTTCCATCATTCCCTGTCCAGAAGCCAGTTGCACTGGTAGTTGAATCTTACATTCCCATCGGCAGTGGGACAATATCCTCCATAGCACCTGAGGACATTCACATTGACACATAAAGCTCTGCCTTCCAGTGTCTGACCACGGTTTGCAGTTTGCTGTGTTTGCCACCCTCTGGAACAAATGCTGCAGCACAGCAGTAGGATGGGCAGCGTGCCTGGCATGAGAAAATACCATGGGCCTGCACAGAAGGCCTGTCGCCATGCACAGCCTAGGGTGGCTCCTGCTTACATGGTCAGGGGCCATTCCTGGGGGGAGGTTTCTGGTGCCTTAAGGCCAAGATGATTGATGCAGCCAGACAAACTGAGCCAACAACAGGCAGGCATTTCTGCTGCCAAACTGCCAGGCCAGGAAAATGGGAATAGATGGTGGGGAAAGTGCTATTGCCAGCCTTTGTTGTGTGAAGTGACTCTACCTGATGGTAGGGTCAGCCCTGACTGGAATGCTGATCCATAAGAACTGAATGCAAGTTGAACTTTGTCACCATGTGGCTTATAGGGATGAAATAAAAGCAGCCTTTCCTAAGAACTGGCCCCTGTTTGGTTCCAGTCCCCAGAATCTGTATTGTCTGGACTGTGTTGATAGGAAAGCTGCTCTCAGGTTACTTGCATTCAGCTGTACTTCCTTTTGTTCCCTGTCCAGAGTGCATTTCCCCTCCGACCAGGAGTTTTTGTTATCTCTGAGATGGGAACTTGGTACACTGTTTTGTCATGCAAACTGGCTGAAACAGATCCTAGGCTGTGAAATGCTGCTAACTGAAATACAAGCTCTGCAAACAGCCAAACTTTGGAAAATAATGTAAGCTGCCTGTGAGAAAGGAATGTTAAAGGCAAATCCTTGGGTGGAGGTGATTTTGGATTTGTTTACCTTGCAGAGCCTTAGAAGACAGAAGAAAGGCACTCTGTGGTTATGTGCTGTGATTTATTTGCTAATAAGTGAAGTCATAGCTTTAGAAATGATTCCACACCCTGGATTTTTGTTCCTTTGCTGTGTGAAAAGGTTACATGAGTACTGTATTATGAAGAAAATAAGAAATAGGGAGAGCATGGAATCCATCTGGAAAATTCAGGCTTCTCTGTCAGTGCCTGGAAAAGGCTGGCTAAGGGCAGGGGGGCAGTATCTGCCTAGTAACAAGAAGGAGGTAACGCCTGCAATTTATCTCTTGTGAGAGAAGTCTTTAAGACCAAGTTGGCTTGTTCCTGGACACTGCAGTAATTTGGAATATGATTTCAGCTATGTGAAGGGAGAGGATAAAAAAGACTGATTGGCAGAACAGTGCAGACTGACTGATCTGAAAGGGTCCAGAATGTGAAATGCATAAAAAGGGATTCAGAAATTACTTTAGTTGGCTTAGCTTACCTCTCAAGATATGCTACGCGTAGTTGCTGTCCTATTAATGCCATATCTGGAAGGATGCATTCTGTGTGTGTTTCAGAACTGTTCTGATTCTACACTGATGTATATTAGATTAGATCAGTGTTGTTATTTTCTGGTGGGTTTTCTTAACTACCTCAGCTTTTGTCTTGAATTGTCCCTTTTGCTCCAAGTGCCTTCTGAAACACTTTTGGAACTTTTGCCTTTTATCTTTTTTCACCATCTTTAATAAAATATTTAAAAAATTCTCCAATGAACAGTATGGGTTTTTGTTTTGTTTTTGTCTCAGGGTTTGTGATACTAAAACCAGGTCTTGCCTTGACATTTTGGTGTTTTTGCGGGTGTAGTGGTAGTTCTTTCTACCTTGCAAGGTGGGAGCAATTTATTATTTATTTATTTATTTCATTTATATCCCGCCTATCTGGCAGGGTCAGGACCACTCTAGACGGCTAACAGTCATAAAAAATACAATAAAAATATATAAACAATTTAAGTAGTAAAAGTGATACATAGGGTGAGAGAAACAATAAAAGAGGAAAGAAAAGGCGTCAGGAATTATCTGCTGGGAAGGCCTGCCAAAACATGCATGTTTTTAATTGATTCTTAAAGATATCCAGCAAGGGAGCCCCGCGAATTTCATGAGGTAGATTGTTCCAGAGGCGAGGAGCCACCGCCGAGAAGGCCCAATGCCTTGTCTTTTCCTTCCGGGCCTCCTTTGGCGTTAGGCTCCTCAGCCTCAGCAATGGTTCTGAGTGTCTAACCTTGTGGATTTTTGGACTCCCTGCAACCACTGCCAGTCTGGGTAGAGTGGAGTCTTGGGAGGCATCAGGACCAGGCATGTTATCTTGTTATCACCACGTTTGACTCTCCAGTCCAAGATAAACAGGGTTGTGTGGCTGGGTGGCTAGAGAGGGACTCCCTGAACCCGCGAGTTGTCACAGTTACAAACTGTAAAGGTAGTTGCAATGATTTTTTGTTAATTGAATAATGGGCTTAACTTTTTAAAATTCTATTTAACCAGGGATGCCCCCTTGTGCACCCTAATTGCCAAAAAGTCCTTAATTGAGAACAAAATTGGGCCCACAGTCCCTGGAGGGCACAAGAGGCCTTTCTGCATAAATTTGTTTCTTTAAAAAATAGGTTGAGGTGGGTCTGAAGGGGTGCAGAAATGGCACTGGTGGATCACAGGGGGCCTATGTTTTACAAACTCCTGGTTTAGAATCTCCTCTCATAATTTTGGTTAATATTTTTGCATTCTGCCATGACTGTTTTAACAAAGAGTGCACTACATTTTGCCCACTCTGTTTCCTGTCATCCCTGTCTTCTTAATGCCTGTCCCACCATATATTTTTAGTAGTGGTTGTGTCTAGAAATAGCAGCATTTTCAGCCTATACCACCTATATGCTCAAGGCGAGAACCCTAGACTACATAGAGTCTGTTGGATAGAGTGTTCCATTTTGGAGGACAGCAGAATCTCAATTTTGTCTTGAAAAAAAAATGAAAACCCAGACTTCTCCTAACTCCCTTTCCTATACTCATGATGGGACAAGAAAACAAACCTTTTTCTTTTTCTCTTTATTCTCTTGTATAGCAGATGGACAGATGTTCCGGAGTTCCTGTTTACCAAAACAGCTGGAAGCAGAGTGGCACTTTGGGGGAGTAAAATACCGATATGGTGGCAAGAAAGAAGGCAAGTTAGGATGATGTTTCCTAAGAAGGGTGTAAATGGAGAACATCTCAGGCTGTTCTGCCTTTGTTTTTTAAATAATTTTTAAAAAATGGCTTCCTGGGATATGATCGTGAGAACCTGTTGCAGAGGCCTTGCATTGAAAAATGTGGGCCAGATTGAATTAATTGTGATTAGAAAACAGAGCTTTAGTTTGAAAGTTATCTAAATGCATTGCTTGTATTGTCCCATTGAAGTAATATGATTATTCAGGCATTCTGCTAGACCCTTGAGAGTAAATATTTCTAGGGGCAGAGAATTCTGTACTCAATCCTTAGAAAGGAACTCCACTGTTGTGCTTTCATCTGTTTCCCCTTCCTAATGTAATTGTTACAGCTCTGCACTGCAATGGAATTCATGGCTCATGTCATGTTTATATTTTTATGTTTATCCTCACAGGAAAAACAGGATTTGAACCTTGCTATTCTGAAGTGTTGCGGGTTGTACAAGGCAAACTTCATCAAGCAGATGAGATTCAGAGAAGCTCCTTCTATGCCTTTTCCTACTATTATGATCGGGCTGTGGACACTGACTTGATAGGTGAATAGCAAAATTTTACTTAAGTTGTATTACTGTTGAAAGGGACAGGTTAGTTTACCTGTTTGGTTCCTAGCTTTCTTTTCAAGGAAAATCTTTCAGAAAGTGGATTAAAACATATTTTAAACAACAGGCATCAAACCATAAAAACAATATTCAGCGCTGTAGTCTCATTTAGAAACACAATACAATAGTATTAAATGGATGCTAGGGGAAATAAAACCTTTAAAATTCTTTCAAAGGCCTGCAGAGCAAGGACATTCGAAAGATGCAGAGTTGCTACAGAAAATGTCCAGCCCTTATCATGCTGTTTTCGCTAGCAGAATGGACAGCAAGGGCTGAGATGCTGCTGTGGAAGCTTGTACAGTGGTGCCTCGCTTGCCAAGGATAATCCAGCGAAATCACTGTAGAATGAAATCCTCGTCAAGCGAAATAAAAAAGCCCATTGAAATGCATTAAAACCCGGTTAATGCATTCCAATGGGCTAAATACTCAGTGTCCACTGAAGATCCTCCATAGGGCGGCCATTTTCTGCTCCCTGTCTTGCGAAGAATCGGTCCTAAAGCACAGCAGGGAGCCATTTTACACAGCGGGTGGCCATTTTGAAAACTCGACGATCAGCTGTTTTGATTGTCAGGAAGCGAAAAAAACCCACTCAATCATCAGTTTGCGATCGCAATAGCGATCACAAAAAACTAGTCTTCAAGCGATTTCCTTGTCTAACAAGGTCATTATCGAGCGGGGCACCACTGGGCTTCTGCACATGCATGCGATACGTGAAGTTAATCTGATTCCAGAATGTTAGGTAAAAGCTTCTAAACTAGTACCAGCACCTTAATTTGTCTCTAGAAATAAAAAGGCAGCCAGTATAACTGGTACTAAATACTTGTATTCCATTTTGACTGCCTGGCTTTTACAGCCATGCTAACTACTGCATTCTGCAACTGAAGTTCTTGGATTGTTGCTACAATTGTAGCTCTGCATAAATTGTAGTTTATGACTACAATACTTCCAACTGTCTTAAGGGAAATCTTATTTAAGACACATGATAATTATAAAGCAGGAATACAAGAAGAACGTGTTGTTGCGGCAGCATGGTGAGACTTTTTCTGGAGGAGGCACAGCTACTGTATTTCCCTGAAAATAAGGCAGGGTCTTATATTAATTTTTGCTACAAAAAACATATTAGGGCTTATTTTCAGGGCATTTTTTTTTCATGTACAGCCATCTTTATTTATTGAAATACAGGGTCATGTCATCTTCTTCTGGTTGCTGCACAATGGTGGAGGGTGGGGTTTCGCTTAACTGGGGCTTATTTTTAGGGTAGGGCTTATATTACGAGCATCCTGAAAAATCATACTGGGGCTTATTTTCAGGTTAGTTCTTGTTTTCGGGGAAACAGGTAGTGACACACAGTATAAAGCACTTGTAATCCAAGACACTACTTGTGCCTCCATCAATCTTCTAACATCCAGAACTCTTAAACTGCAGCCCTGGCTCAGCCTCATTCAGAATCAGCTGCACCTTTCTATTAGTATATATCTCTATCCACAAACATTTCCATCTTGTCTAAATTTAAGCTTCGGCTCGTTTAGTCTCATCCACATGCACACACCCAAACTAATACCTCTTCATAATTTATCTTATAGGACACCAAGACACTCCTTTCTTCAAGCAGTTAGCTTTTTTCTGGAAATCTCTCTCTTTTTGCAACACATAAAGAGCAGTATATGACAAAGAGAAAAATATTCAACAATACATAGTGCCATATGTGATTCAGTTCTGATAGGTTGTTCTAGCTTGATTTAGTCCACAGCTAGAATGTGAATTATTAAAATAAAGGTAAACATTTCTGGCTGGATTTAGTCCACAGCTAGAATGTGAATTATTAAGGTAAGGGTAAACATATTTTTTCTGTCGATGGCCATGTTCCTGGGTGGAATCTATTGGAAACGGCATGATGGGGCTGAAATGAGTGACAGCTAGAGGCTTTCCTTTCTCTGCCATTGCCTCCTTTGCTGCTCAGTGGACTATCAGGGGAGAGAGATACTATTCTTGCTGGAGGTTGGATTGCTTGTTTGTAAGGAGCTTTTGAAATTAAGTTTAAGATTCAGGTTCCCCAGCTGTGTGTTAAAGTTTTCTGCATCGCACTTTCCAGTTCAGCCTTTTTTTCCCCTTTAAGCTTTGGCTCAATGCAAATAGCTGACAGCCAATTCATAATAAATGAAACATTTTATGTTTTATGCAATACATTTTCTTACATTTTCCCGGTTACACAACTTTGAACAGATCTTTATGCATGGTATGTGATATGCTTTAATGAGCATGGGGATCTAGTACAATAACCTGTACTTCAGAATACAGCCTCACTGCATGGAGACAGACCAGCTCATGAAGTAAAATAAATCTGTACACAGCATTGGTTAGATAATAGTGTGCATTTTTTCCTGCAGATTTTCACACAGGTTGGAGCAAACGGAGTTCCAAGTAGTGTTTCAGCTGTTGTGTATCTTGAAATATCATAGTTTTGGATGATGTCCTTCTTTGTGAAAGTGTGTCTTCATGGGAAAAGGCTAGGAAAAATCCCTTTTCTGTTGGATTGGGAATGCTAAAGTTTAAACAGCATTAAATTAAAAGTTTGTTATGACAGAACAGGGGAGCTAAGTTGAAACTCAAGTTAATAGCTACAATACTGATGATTGAAAGAGAGATATAGATTGCGGAAAGACACAGGGCACTTTCTGGAATGTAACATTCAGGTTGACTCTTCTTCCCAAGACTTCAGGAAAGAAATGCACATTTGCAGATGTCCCCACATATACCAATATGGAACTTGCTTTAAAAAAAAAAGATCTCCAAACTCTCATCACAAGCACAGTGTAAAGTCAGACAGCAAAAAAATAAAAATAAAACAGACATTCAGTCCAGATGGCACAGTAATATCGACCCTAACCCTTTCCCAGCATTATTGTCTTTTCCAGAGAATCTTACCTTCTCATGATGTGCCCAAAGTATGATAGCATCTGTTTTATTAGTTTTGACTCCAGGGATAGTTCATGCTCGATCTGCTTCAAGATCCACTTGTTTGTCTTTCTGTTAATTTAAGGTATCCACAAAGCTCTCCTCCAGCACCATATTTCAAGTGATTTGTTTGTTTCTGTTTTGTTATAGGGCCATTGTTTTCAAACTGATAGGGCATCTTGATATTTCTTATAAGCTTATTGGGGATTCTGTAAGGAGAAAACAGTGGCTGACATATTGAGAGATAATCATTACCAAGTTTAAATTGCATTTCTCAGTTTTAAAAAAAATGCAATTTAGCAGGGGTTACATGGTGCCTCACAAGACAAATGCCTTGCAGGACAAAAATTCGCAAGACAAATGGTTTTGGCAATGGGGGTTGATGACTTGCAAGACAAATGTTCCTATGGCTGTACTTCACAAGAGTTTTCCTTTTTTTCCCTGCCTCATGTTTGCTGATTTTTAAATTTTTCTATGATGTTTAAAAAGTTAAATTTTTTTGATTGAAATTTTTTAAATCATCTGCACAATATGTATGGCTTTAAAGAGCACTTAATAAACCCTTTGTATACCAAATTTGACTTTGTTCTGATTTTTTTTGCCCATAGGAATACATTAATTAGATTTCAATGCATTCCTATGGGAAAATGCATTTCGTAAGACGAATTTATTCGTCTTGCGAGGCACCACTGTAATCTGTTTTTCCTATGAAAAATCAATGAACCATGAGAATTCACTTGGAGGTTGCAGCAGATGTAGCCAGAGTCAGAACCTGGACCCCAAATGAATAAAGTTGACAATCCTGCTCAGTGATTTCTCTATCTGTATTGCCTTATTCCTTTACCACCTCAGTAGGTTTCCATTTGGGCTCCTAAAAGGAAGAACGAACTTGCAGTATTCTGAAAGCCTGCTGCTGCTGAGAATTGGATTGGCTTCTAGAGACATATGCTCCCTTGGCAACACTGAGGCATACAAGTGCATGGAGTTTGCGAAATATATTGTAATGTTACCAAGAACCCTCAATGCAGTGGAGTTCTGTGGCAGACATGTAGAACACCCTCCTTACAAACAAGTTGACATGGCAAGGATTCTTTATAGGAAGAAAACCACTGCTATAAGGAATGCATTTATGAGTCTTCTGCCAGCATTTCATCTTCCAATAGGAATTTAGTGTGTGTTGATTTTTCACAAACTATTGAGTGTTTCATAATGTTGTACTGTAGACATTGACCATTTGTCCCCATAGTTGCGGTTTATCAATATTGTACAGGATCTTTTTTCAGTCCCAGGATGACCCTTGTCTTGGTATTTCAGATTATGAAAAAGGTGGAGTTTTGCAAGTGAGAGACTTCGAAAGAAAAGCCAAAGAAGGTAAATTGTGTTTAGAGACTTGAGATAGGGTCTTCCAAATTAATACACCAGAAACCTGAAACACTGCCTAATATGGGTTCATATTCAGGCCTCTTAGATGTGATTTCAGACGAGTCTTCAGATTTTAATAACTTTTATGCTTTCTAGAGGGAAACATAACCTGAGATATAAGAACAAAATTATTTTTCAGGGATGATATAGCTTAATGATTTTGTCCTAGAAGGCAGCTTCTTGAATAATAATATTGTGATGAAAGCCTGTGTAATGGGGTATTTACCAATTCATAAGCATTGTTAGTGTAAGAAATCTGATTTCATCTCATGTGACACATTCCAGATGCATGGCTTTTATATTCTAAATTCTAGAACACATCAATAGGAATCAAAAGGAGTCTTTTGTTCCCAGCCTCTTCTATGTCGAGACGAAACAGATTCTACTCAGGGCAGATACATATTACCGAATCATTAACTATTTGTTGAAGGGAGTGAGAATAGGGAAAGGGATTTACAAGAATCATGTTTACTAGTACTTTACTCTGACATTAACTATAGTTAAGCCTCTTCTTGGGGCGCTCCTTACCAGCATTTGAAAACTGAGCAAGAACAACTTGAGAAGTAGTTATGATTCCAGAACACAGCCTTCTCCAATCAGCTGTACTCCAACTCGGCATGTATCTTGGCTGTGGGATTATGGGATGTGGAGTCCCACACAACCACTGCACAACTCCCCTTCTGGGAGGCTGCCATGTTTATCAGATAGCTGTTGCTACAACAGTTTCTTTGGTAAGACAGATAACATGTACTTTTTAGGCAGCTAATCTAATATTTTTATGTTCCCTTTATAGTATGTGACAATCTGGATAACTACCGCTCCGCCAGCCCATTTTTGTGTATGGACCTCAGTTACATTACAGCCTTACTAAAGGAAGGCTTTGGATTTGGCGATAACACAGTTTTGCAGGCAAGTAAAAGTGGCTAGAAGAAGCCATAATCAGATTAAGTTCCTGATACAACTACTACATTCCATGCATTATGATGATATGCAGTGTGGTCAGGTATGTGGTACTATGTCATCAAGACCCAGTATGCTGTTACTGGCCTGCTAATCAAAATGAACATATGCTTGTGATGTGACAGGCTGTATCATTTGGTGCTGAGGTGGCTATTTAAGGAAAGGCAGATATTTCTGTTATATCTAGATTTGTACTGAGCCCAAAGCAATGCAATTGCAAGGGGAACTAATCTCTTCTCTTTTATCTTTTTCTAACAGCTGGCAAAGAAAGTAAACAAAATAGAAACAGGCTGGGCTCTAGGTGCTACATTTCATCTTCTACAATCCCTGGGACTGTCACAGTAAGAAGATATTGCCTGGAGGATGTTTAATTTTCTTAAAACAAGGAAAATCTTTTATATATATATAAAAGTACAGTGAAGCACAGACCAAAGGAGAAGCATCGGTTACCTTAAGGAGCAGATTCTGAGCTGCCATGAAACAGGGCCTTCTATCTACAGAAATAAGTGATCCATGATTTCATTGCTTAATGGATGCCCACAGGGCATTAAAATAGATCCTGTATAAAGTGTCCAGCATTTATTTGGCCATAAGCCATCAGAACAGTGGTCTTGCTCCACACTTTTTAAAAGAATAGGCCTTTTTATCCATAAAGCAGATTTGAAGTGAACTTAAACCAGTAAGTTGTTTTAAAACATCATAACTAGAGTATATTTACTTTTCACATCAACTGTTTGAGATTCAAATAGCTGTTTTTGCAATTAGCTGGTCCTTAAACATGCAAAAAATGCAATTCTGATTGAACTTTAAGATAATTAGTAGCTAGGAGTAGCAACAAAGGGAAGACTCTAGGAATTCATACTGAATTATTTTGTGCACTTTTATGTTGATTTCTCTAAAGTTAAGAAAGAGCACAGCCTTTTCTGTAAGCATTTTGGCCACCTTAGGAGACAAAGAAATTTGCTGGAGATGAAGCCACAAACAATTTGTTCCCCACTTTAATGATACAAAACATCTAGATGCCCTTTTGAAATAATCAGTTAAAAGGGAAGAGCCTCTGACATGCTTCTAAAACCACCTTTTCTAAAAATGTGCACTTTCTTGGAAAATGATGAATTTAACAGGACTCTAGCATAGGTATACAGGTACTCAGGCAGGTGGATGACCTTTGGTAAACCTTTAATATTCCCATTGTAGCAAAGCACCTTGTACCTCCTTATGCTGCACAAATGTTAAAATGTTCAGCAGGATTACTCAGTAAAAATGTGTTTCATCTTTGTATTGTTCAGCAATGCCAGTAAGGATAATTTTGCTGAATAGCTTTGGAACAAAAATATTAAGACATGCTAATGTCAGATGTTTGTACTTGTCAACATTTTTGGCCAAGTGCTCTTACTGAATATGGAACTGGTAGTGTCTGCATAATACCCTGCAATTTTATGCATGTGCAATGTTGTGCCTGAAAAAAATACAAGACAGAGCTTACCTAGACATGCTTTCTGGTCCCTTGACCAAAGCAGGATAGTTTGTGAAACCCTAGTGTGAACTCATGCTCTGCAACCTCATTTCTAATCTCAGGCAAAAGTTTCAGTTTCTGAGCACCGCTCTTCCTATACCAAAGTTAATTTATATTTGGCAAATTCAGGACCTTTTTTTAAAGTGCATGTGCTTTGATAGATGGGTAACTTCTGCTGCTAATTAAACGACCACTTCTGTACTCCTTCCCTACACAACACCAGTGAACCTCATTTGCATAAGGAGTACAAAAACAACAGGTTCTCTTCCCTCCAATGATTCCAGCAGTGATTTGAAACTATCTTGCCTTCTTAAGTGTTCATACCTTTCCCAGTGCAAGGAATTAGTGATCTGCACAGAATGACCTTGTTGGAAAGAAACTATCTGTATAATTTGGTGGAGGAGATAATGAAACAGAGACCTTATTTTTTTTCTTTAAAAAACAGATATGAAAGCGGCTGTTTACATGACCTAATGTATATGTTTAATGTAGCAGAGTAGTTTGAAAGGACATTTATTTTGGTTTAGCTTAATTTTTAAAATAAAATTAAGGTAAACTGTGAGCAGACTGAGCCCTTCCTCTTAAATAAATGTCCAGATAGGCAGCACTGTGAGGGCAGGTACTTCTAACCTTAAATTCTCTCTTCAGACACACATTCACACTTTGTCTTGAAACTAAATTGTAAAAAGGTAGCATAAATATCCTTGCACATTAGCTATGTTTATGTTACTTGGTGCTGTACTACAGTTAGATTAATATCAAGCTGAACTGTTTTGTACATGAATAAGGCAAAGCAACTTTGAATGTTATTTTAGTAATTAAAATAATATTTTTAACAGAATATTTTTGGACTCTTGCCTTTCACTGAGACTTACTTATGCTATTCTGTCTGTAGAATAGAATTTTATAACCTTGAGACCAAGTGGGTAAGCAATATCCCTATCCCAGATATGTCTAAGAGGACAAGACTGAAAAAAAAAATGGGAAAGACATGATAAATGACTAAGCTGGCCGCTTAGAGTCTTTCTCATTTGAAGCAGGAGAATGACTGGAATCCAACGAAGTTCTTCCGCTGACAGAACTGCTTCTTCAGTAGAACTGGATCTTGCAGAAGGCAGGATAAAGTCCTTCTGTGTCAGAAGACATCCACATGTTCTATGCTGGTTTTTGCCTCTTTCCCTCAAACTACACTTTACTGTTCATTCCAACAACACCATTTTGCTCAAACAGTCTTTACAGTTCCAGATATCCCAGTACTAAGTAAGACTACATTGGCATTTTAGGAGAAAATTGACTGCCAGTTTCACTGGAAGAAGGAAGAACTTCCATCAGAATAAGCAAATGTAAAAATGCCATACGTCTTGAAGGTTTTTTTTCTGTTTGAAATAGGTTAGATGAAATGTAATAGTCTTATAATGGATGAGTCCATGCAACCATCAGCAGTCAATAGTACTTGATTTATGAGGCTGTCACTTGTTAGCAAATCCCATGATCTGTTCCTAAAGGATGAAAAGAGAAAGACATTACTTTTAATCCTGATGAAGTTCTGTCTCAGAGTTCCTTAATACAGTATTTACATGTATAACCAGGATCATGTGTCCCTCATGATCTTTTTTAGTTGATTTTCCCCCCCCACACACACACACCCCTAGCTAAGTATCTACAAAATAATACACCTGGCTTCCAGCTCTCCATGTCCCCTTTTTTATCTTTCCTCAGAATACCCCTTGGCCCTTTGTTTAGCACATGCCAATATGTGTGTGGCTGTCTGTGAGACACAAAACCAGCCAGAAACGCCCTCCAGGCCATGACATCTCCAGTCCTGCTGTAAAAACACCCACTCTTCTCATTTAAGCCAAAATGAAAGCATACTATTGTTTATGAACTTGATATGAATTGTTTATGAACTTGATATGAATTGTTACACATGTTGAATCTACCAAAACAGGTAGGAGATAAAGAAAGATAAGCACCATATGTGTTCTCCCATAGTCAGTGTAAAAACACTGTTTGGTTCACTTTGCCACAGATAGGAATGGGATACATACTTAGAAAAGCTGCTATCTAATCACCATTACATCTATTTAACGTAATACTATTCTGGACAAGTTATTCGGCTCCTCGTATCAAAGACAATGTTAAAAAAAGAGTTCTTACTTTAACTGGAGGTATGGCATTAGTTGCTTGCAACCCCCATGTCCTAAGCAACACAAAAGGAATTACACTTGTAGAGTACAATCTCTTCAATAAGTCAATAGCAGCCATTAGAGAAACATTGTGTCTCTGCCTTTCTCCTTCATACTGCAGCAGATGCTTCAGAGAGCCTGGAACAGAGATCATTTCAGAGTTTACTACATGGAGTAGATGGGTTCCCAAATGATTCTGAAGTCAGGGTTGTAGACTGGATTCAGCATACAGAATAACTCAGTCTGGTACATTAACAGGACTGACAAAATAAGTTAAGCTTTCATTCTAGTCAAGATGGAGTCTTGCCACATAACCACAATTTCCTAATATGTTTGGCAATCTCACTTTGACTGCTGAAAATAATCAAGTTGGCCAACAAAAAGTGTGGGTTGAGGAGCAATGGTGCTCCATGAGCGTTTGCATCCCAGGTGACAAATTGTGTGGCCTCCACCATTGGGCAGACCTGTTGCCACTCTGGAATGCAAATTAAATTGTGGTAAGGAATGTGGTTAGAATGCTGTGTTCCTTCTAATTTTGGTGATACAAATAACATAGATGGTCATGTTGCAACTTTGTTTTTTCTGCTTTCCATATTCATCAATCAGTCAGTGTGCTTATATCAATTTCTCCTTCCCAAGGAAAGGCACTCCCTTCTACAGTTTACAACAGAAAAAAAATTGGATACTCGTCATAGTGTTATTACACAAATTAGACACCAACAACTTAGACAGATCCTTTACCTAGAAACTGAATGGCAAAGAGAATGAGCCTTCAGAAGGGACATTTTGTCTGACCACACTTTAGTTTCTACTACATTCTTACCTAGGTCCTTCCCACTGAATGCCGCAGCACTGAGATGACGTGTCAAGCATGCAATATCCCCAAAGCCCATGTTTACACCTTGGCCTGCTAGAGGATGTACTCTGTGAGCAGCATCCCTATAAGAAAAGAATAATGGTCATGGAACAAAATACGATATCAGATATATAGTGGGGTCTCTACTTAAGAACTTAATCCGTATTGGAAGGTGGTTCTCAAGTTGAAAAGTTCTTATGTTGAATCTGCATTTCCCATAGGAATGGACTGAAAACCAATTAATCCGTTCTGGCTGTTCTTTTGTTATGTAGAGGTGCGTTCGTACATTGAAGCATTAGTTCCCATAGGAACTAATGCAAAGCTGCTTAATACGTACTCTACCACTAGGGGGAGAATTTTTTTTAACCTAAGATGACCTAAGGTTAAAAAAAGAGCAGGAAAGTTTTTTTTTCCTGTTCTTATCTTGGATTTCTGTTCTCAAGTAGAAGCAAAATTTAGCAAATGGAGCTGTTCTTAAGTTGGATTGTTCTTAAGTAGGGACGTTCTTAAGTAGAGACCCCACTGTACTGAAAAGATACCAGAGTGGATATCTCCATTAGCAGCTTTTACACAACCCAACCTTATGTCTGTAAACAGATTGCTCAAATACAAAGAATTACAAAAAATAAATGGTGAATTAAAAACAACAGGGTATTCCTGTGTCTATATAATGCTCTGAGAGTCAGTGGCCCTCTAAGAGAACAAAGGATAGTCTGGAGGGGCTGCAGTGGGACACAGAAATCAAAATTAATTCAGCAAGTCTGTCTTGGCAAGCAGAAACTGTTTTATGTTCAAGCAAGATTATCTTTGAATCCAAGGCCATGTTCTTTTTGATGCATAAGCTCCCATCTTTCCTTCCAGTTCAGAGAAATACATTTTACACTTCCAGAACCTCTACTTCTATGACAACTAGAAACACCTTACTTGAACCCTTCACTTTCAATTCCTAATCAACTCATCCTTACAGAGATTAATTATAGCACTTAAATTCCTCAGTGTGAAGTTACCCAATCAGAGCCACACGGTGTTGGACATATTCTGTTGCATGCCCCAATCCAAGAGGGAACACAGCTCGGCTCTTTGGGTCCACTTTTGCAACACTTGGAGGCAGCTGGCGGCCTGCAGTCCCTGATGGCATCAGGAAAGAAACAGCAGATTGGAACATGGATCCAGCCGTATCAATAAGTTCTGAGTGATGTGCATTGCTCCACTGGATAAGGACAGAGATTTGTTTGTTAGTATACCAGCAAAACTATGTAATGCTGAAAGATTGGTATCACTATTTCTGTCTCCTGTTAGAATACACCAAGCAGTACATTACAAAAAGGAAAAGTTAGAGAAAAACCAGAGAGGGTAATACTTACAAAAGCAGAATTTACAGAATCTACAAAACTTTCCTCGTCCATGCTCAGAAGCTGTGATGCATGTTCATGTGATGTTGACCAAACCAAAGAGCTGACAGTGTCAGAGAGCTGATGCAAAAGTTGTGGATAAAAGAAAAAAACAACAAAGTAACCGCCTATTTCGTTTATCTCTGCAGAGCCCCTCACTCATCCCCCCAAAATGTATAACTTGAAAGTGGTAGAAAAAGAGAATAAACACATTAATAAAGACAAACACAAATAACAGACACAGTTAAACAAGTAGAGGAAAAAGGGAAGAAAAAGTCTGGAAACTCAATGGATAGAAAGGTACTAAGCTCTTTACCGGAAGAAGAGCAATTGGTCCAGATGGAAGAAATCTTTGCCATGCTACGTTGTTATCTGTTGCCTGAAACATAAAAAAATTTCAGAAGCAAGATGAAATTTTATTCAGGTTCCATCTTTGGCTTGTATTTTCAGAACGTGGAACTCAATTGCTGAATTCTTTGGGATCTGACCTCGGACAAGTGAAGAGTGGCAACTATCGATGACTGGTCATAGCGATACTGAATATTCTGAATACCAGCTGCTTTCCGGACCACGGAATTCTGCCCATCTGCACCAATCTGTGAAAACAACAGATTGATATAAACCTTATTAACATCTTTAACAAATCTCCACCCCTTCGCCTCTCATAATCCACAATCAGTAGCTAATCAGAAACAGGATAAAATCTAATAGTGCCCAGATGCTAGCAAACTAGACCTTCAACAGCAATGCCTGTGTCCTCCTAAAACCTACTCCAGACGTGTAGAGTAGATTTTGGGGACAGAAGAAGGGTTGGAAGGAAAACCAATACCACAGAAGTGGGAATTTACTTCTGCTATATCATATGGTACCCAGAGTAACCAAAACTGTTGCTCTCCACATTAATGTTCAAAAATTGTTGCTTCCTAAACCGTTTGGATCAGCATATTTAATTAATCCCTAACAAATATATTTAGGATGACATTAATCAAATCACAGTGTGCAACTGTATAACCACAAGTATAACCTAAGTATAACCAGATTTTTTAAATATCTAACTGTTTCAACTCACCTCTAAGCCCCTCATGCTGGTGGTGTAGCACCACATGACACTAGAACTAAATCCAGTAGAAAGGACTTGGCAAGATGGTGCCTGATTAAACAGAAAATAAAGGCTTAGTTACCAGCAGTTTGGTTTGAAGTCTGCGTCCATCTGCTAAATCAATTTGGACCCAAGGGCTTGAATCAGAGGTTTGATAATGAAGGGGGAAGGTGTACCCAACTGCTCTGCTCTTGTAGAGAACTTCCACACGGTCTGATGGGGACACAATGTTTCAATGTCACCAAATGACAGGCAGCAATGAAGGAAAGAAGTGAAAAACAAAACACAGCCCATGTAGAACAGTTCACTAATTATTGAATTTCTACAGATGTTTACTACCATTCATTTTCTAAGTACAAATAACATACGTGTAAACATGTGTTCATGTGCGAATGACTGAAGTGACAAACTTCAAAAACTGTTATAACCTCAAGCTATCTGGCAGAATGTAAACATATCAATTTTTACGCTCCTCTATAGTTCCACTAGGCCTAATCCATTGAAAAGAGCACCTAGTAGGAGCACCCAGTAAAACAAGACTAGGAAGAACTGCCACTACCTGAAATTGCATCCAACTGTTTGGTTAAAGCTGCCATGATAACGTTGTTCTCTATAATGTAACCCATATCTTCCAAGTTATCCTTATCAAAGATGATCATGGCATCAGAACATGCATCCCACACCTGTAAAGAAAAGAAATATGACTAACTAAAGCAAAAAAAGATACATATGTAAATACAGAGATTTTCTTTTCTATCAGGACTCCAGTTATAACATTCAATATTTAAAACCCCTAGTAAATACAGAAAACACAAATGTACCTGAGAGTGGGCAACTGTGGCTCTCCAAATGTTTGTGGCCTACAACATCCAGAAGTCATAGCTTGTATAGCCAAGAGGTTATACTCTAAAAGATGTGGAAGTTACAGCCAAACGACATTTGCAGAACCACACTAGCCTATCTCTGACTTATGCAAAGATGAAAAATACAAACCTGAACAACAGATAGCCGTGGGAGTACCATGACTCCCCAAAAATAAGGCAGGGTCTTATATTAATTTTGACTCCAAAAATGCATTAGGGCTTATTTTCAGGGAATATTTTATTTTACAGTCATGTTATCTGATTGCTGCACAATGCTGGAGGGTAGGGTTTCACTTAACTGGGGCTTATTTTTGGGGTAGGGCTTATACAAGCATCCTGAAAAATCATACTAGAGTTTATTTTTGGAACATGTGTGTGTGTGTGTGTGTGTGTGTGTATGGCAGGGGTATAACACACATAAAATACTGTATAGTCAATGTTTCAGAAGAGTTAGTTTGTGCTAACATGTAAGGCAAGAATAAAGTAAAGACGAAAACAATGTGGCACTTTAAAAACTAACTGCTATATTTTAATATGAGCTTATGTTAACATATATCTGAGGAAGTGGACTTGTCTATGAAAGTGCTCATTAAAATATAGCAGCTAGTCTTCATGGTGCCACAATGTTTTTGTTTTCTTCATTTTTATTTTTATTTTGTTTTTGCCTGACAAATAGTCAAATATATCTCATTAAAATAAACAGCTTCACACAACACAAAAACAGTGAGAATTCATAAATGAGGCATCCTCTTTGCACACTTCTGAGATCTTAGCAAAGGAGGAATCCAAAGAGAAAACAGAACGACAGGTTACCCACCTGTAATTGTAGTTCTTTGAGTGGACCTCTGTGATTCACACCCTGGGTGATCCGCACCTGCGCAGAGCCTCATAGGAAAGTTCTAGAGCTTCTGCCGTAGCAAAAAAAACATTAGAATAAGGCTCCCCTTTCAGATGTATCAACCGCCACTACATTAAGCAGAAGTGTCGTGACAGCGGGGAGGATGGGCAGGATGTGTGAATCACAGAGATCCACTAAAAGAACTACAATTACAGGTGGCTAATCTATCCTCCTTCTTCATGGTCTCTGTGGATCACACCCTGGGTGACTAAAAAGCGGTCTTACCCAGAGGCAGGGTGTCACGCCAAGGTCATTTGTCGGTGTTGAGGATTTTTGATATTGAGAGATGTCATCCAAGTGTCCATGGACATTGTTTGATATGGTTGAATGTCTGTGTCTAACTCAAAGTCACAGTGATGTTGAGTTTGATGGCTTGGTTCTATCAGGCGACAGAAATCGGGTGTTGATAGAGGGACAGAACAAGTGGCCATGGACCAGGATGGATATCGAGGATCATTAATATTAGTCTGTGTCTCAGTGATGTCGAAATGGAGGTTGTTGACGAGCTGGTAAAGCAGTGGAGTATACAGATGCTGGAGATGTCGAGCGAGAGGAACTATTTCCCTCGTTTGGATTAACAGGAAAATATCAGGAGGCTGGAACTGTAAAAGCCTCATGTGTAGAAGAAAAATGCTCAGTTGTCCTGGGTCTTTTACATGCCAGGTAGGGAGCAGGTGGGAGTCCATGTGGGTCACGGTGATATGGCCGTTTTGACACTGATGGCTGTTGAGATTGAGGCCCGCAATGAGAAGGTATGGTTGAGCTGATTGGCAGTTGTGGTTTGTCCAGTCGAGCACTGATCAGGGCAAACGGTAACACGGTGAGAGTGCTGAACACGGTCATAGTGATGTTGAGCCATGCATGATGAAATAGACAGCTCCAGGGACTGTTGGGGCCAATGTCTCCGAGGCAGTCCGAGAGCTCCAGGGACTGTTGGGGCCAATGTCTCCGAGGCAGTCATGGTGGACGAGCAGATGTTAACAAATAAGGTATGGTCTCTAGTTGTTGTTCAGAGTAAACCCTGTCAGGTGAAGCAACTACGGAAGGCTTGTTAGAAAGAACAGTGTTGAGGACTGGGATGAGAAGATGTTAATTGATTGACTCTGTCATCCCAATCCGGTGATTGGGAGCAGGGTTGACGAGAGGGGATTCTGTCATCATCAGAAGGTGAACCAACAGAGATTGATTCGGCGGTTTGTTGAGGCTGCTGAGAAATGACTGCAGCTTTAGATTTATGCTTTTAGGTGGAAAAGGCTCCAGAACTGAAGAGGCTTCGGTGGACATTTGACGTTTAGTGGAGGGCTTCAATATGAAGGATTTCAGTATCAAGGCTTTAATTTATGGGTTTTTGAAGTGTCGGAGTGGAATGGTGTGGTTGATGAACATTGTTTTGAGGCTTCAGAAAGAGCCTTCTCCATTGCTTTGGTTTGTGAGGTGGCCTTACAAGGAGGTTGGGCCATTTTGGTTGGTTGAAGGGATTGTTCCCAAAGATGGAGTTTTAATCTGGATACGCAAGAATGGAGGCCTCCGTGCTTGAAGTTCTTACAATGCTGGCAGGATGACGTCTGGTGTGCCTCTCCCAAGCAAAAAAGACACTTGGCATGGGTGTCGGAGAATGGCATTTTGTTATCACAGACCACACAGTGTTTAAAAGGGCCCAAAGGGGCCATGAATAGGAGAAAATAATTTGAGGAGAAAAAACGATGATGGGGGGGGCTGCGGCTGGAGGCTGAGCAAAAGAATAAAAAAGAAAAATCTCTGATAATGAATTTGATCTAAAAGTTTAAAGGAAAAAAGATTGATAACAGGAAAGAATCAAGAATAAACTCTTTCTTTTACTCACAGAAGCAGAACTATGAGGCTCTCAATGTGATGGTTGAAAGAAACTGAAAGGGGAGCCTTGGCGCCAAGGTACTTATACGAGGGGGGAGGGGCCTTATTCTAATGTGGTTTTTGCTACCGCAGAAACTCTAGAACTTTCCAATGAGGCTCTGTGCAGGTGCAGATCACCTAGGGTGTGATTCACAGAGGCCACAAAGAAGAACTTATCTGATAATACATCTTTCTCATCTCCCACCAAAGATTTTATATGACTCCTTTGCATATGATCCTAGAAACATCAAATACCTTGTACCCACATATGACATATAAATAATCTATGCACCTCTGAATGTAGGAAAAAAACCTCAGGCTTATAAGAACCAAAACATTCTACAAACGGACAAAAATAAAGATATAGACTGTATTTTTTTCAGAATCAGGCACCTGCATCCGCCGAAAGGGTTTGATTCTCATATTACATATATCTTCCCAAGCACCAAAGCCTGGAAAAGAAACAAAAGAATTCTAAGATATCATAACATTATCCTGAGATTCCATAAATATTTAACAGAGAATCTTCAGATGAAGAAAGAAATCAAATCCTCCATTTTACATATGCTCTTTGCAACTCTCCTTATTAATGTGAGCTGATTTTGCTTAGATTGTCCACACCCAGCTACCATTACTTTATGAAGACCCGATGGGAAAGTGGAGGATTTTAAGAGACAAGAGCAACACTTCAATGTTGGTATCTGCAGTTCTAATAGCCAATTTCCCCATGCAGGATTTGCTCTATGATGTGCTGCTCCCTTCTGCTGGAACTGGAAGCACACTTTTCTATTTCCAAAATATCCTGCTTTACAGATGAATTCTGCTTCCCTAAGACGTCTCAAAATGTGAAATTCCTTGCTGTAAAACCTTTTCTCTAAACAATGTGTATACAGGCAGAGGCCCTTCAGGTGGTTACAAAAATTTGTTTCTGCATTGTTTATCATCAAGAAGGCAGCCTGTTATTTATTTTGTTTGCTACCTTTAGACCCCATCTCTTTTCAAAAGAACAAATTCATCGCTGATCCTCCCCATTTTATTCTCTTAACATCCCATGAGCTAGAGCAGGCTGAAAGAGAGTGAGTGGCCCATGGCAACCCTATGAGTTTGTGGGGATTTGAACTCCTGATTCGTAGTCCAACACACTAACCATTATATTATGCTGCCTTCAAAGTATCAATTTAATTTTCAAGCTGTTCAAGCCAAATCCACAATGGCTGTAAATCATTTCCTACGTGAAACACACAAATATAACCCAATACAGCATTGTACAGTATTGGGTTATGTATGTTATGTACTTTCATATACCCACACCAAGTACAACATACCCGACAAACACTCGAATGGCTGTAAATCATTTCCTACGTGAAACCCACAAATATAACCCAATACAGCATTGTATTCGGTTATGTATGTTATGTACTTTCATACATCCACAACAAGTACAACATACCCGACAAACACTCATCATAGTTCACATCTGACAAATGCTCTACTTACTACTGAGAAATGTCGCTGAGCCAGGTGTGATAGCACTGACTCTATTACTGTAATTCTCTGACACCTGGTTAAACACTTTCCTTGGGCGAGTTTCAAGGAGGAGAATTTTCTTATCACGGAGATGAACATCATGACCTTAGGAAAAAACAGTTTCATAAAAAATCTGGAACACCATGCAACAGAACTTCAAAAAAATGTCTATATTTTTCTGGACTGGCTTTGCACTCTTAAGCATGGAAGGAATGTAAAGATTTACATGCTTATCCTGCCTCTTCTATCTCTGGTCACCTTGCCTTGAGAAGGAGTGTCTGAAGGGAAACTGTAACTACAAGCCTGCTTTGTTCTCCATAATCAAGACTTCCATGTCTCTTCACAGCTTTAATTTTGTAAGACTTAATCCCCAAAACTAAAACAATCACCACAATTTGAGCTTTTCTACAAATCAACATTACATTATGGTTTTTCTCATATCTACATTTTCTGTAAAGTTAATACCATTCTACTTCCAAGTACATCAAGACTTAAAACCATGTGGTACAAATGGATGAGAGTTAATATATCTTTCAGAATTCAAACCTGGCTAGAGTAATTCATGTCTCATCTGTATACGATGGAGTGTGTTGCAATCTACAGGCCTTTCCACCAAATAAAATTTGTTACTTTTACAGCCCACTCAAGACTCTTTGCTTGCAAAATTCAACAATCTTTGCAATGCCTAAACCAATGTCCTTTATAGAGAAAGCTATATTTGTGCCCTTGGAAACAGCTGACAGCAGGAACATTGTGAATTTGAGGCATTTGCCTGACAAACATGACATCTGAGTCCATATTATTAAATTCCCTTGTGTAAATACTCCAGTGTTTGCAACAGGAGGATGACTCTGGAAGTATCAGGAGAGCTATAACTCAGTCCTAGGACTCGGTTTTTACGATGGGGACAGCACTGACTATTGCCCAGCCTGAGGACTGGAACTACCGGAGTTTAAAACCACGAAGCTGCCTTTCCAGGTGTTTCGTTCCCAGCGGATCAGCCTCATACCCAGAGCAGCCGCCATGGCCGTCCCGACCATGCCCCCTCCGGACACCACCACATCGTACACCGCCTTCGAACTGCTGGCTCTCATCGAACCCCGAGGGAACGGGGTCCTGCCAGGTCTGGTGCGGGGCCAAAGGCGTTGCCTACGAGGAGGCCCAAGGAGACAGCACCGGGACAAACCCACTAACGCCGCCATTACGTCGGAAATGACACATTACGGCAGCCCGACGCGGCCGGAAATTACTTCACGAACACCTTGACAACAGAAAGGGACCAATCAAACAAAACGAGAGGGGGGACCCTAAACCCTGTCTAGGTAGGCGGGACCGAATGACCTACCGAGCGCTCATTGGTTATCGCGAGAGTAAACAAATCAGCAGGTTCCTATTGGTAGGAGTTCGATGAGGGGATGTGGCGTGGTCGGTGGTCGACGAGTTCTACGAACCGAGGAGCCGCAGGAGGGGAGATGACGGCCTCGGACCCTGAGGGGGCTGCGAGCGGGGCTGAAGCTGAGCGCGAGGAGGAGCAGGAGGAGGTTCGACGGGTAAACAGGCGCGCGGGGCGGTCATTGCGAGGCGTTACTATGGCAACAAGGGCCTAGCGTGGCGTCTTTCCGTGTTCTCGCCACCTGGCCCGAGGGCGACCAGCTGAAAAAAGAACGAGGTTCCTGTACCTTTAAGGATATCCCCAAAACTAAAACAATCACAAGTGTTGTGGAGGAAGACATTTCAGCAAGTGTAGCTCGCGTTCAGAGTCGCCCCTGATGAAATGTCCGTCTTGTAAGCAACTGTTAAAGGACCAAGAACCCTGCCCGTTTTTTTTTCATCTGATCAGCCTGGCCCTGACGGTTTTACTACGTGCTGCATTGGTTACCCCAAGAAGGGTGGGGAGGAGGGTTGGATGCGTAGCTCAGTGAGACAAGAGTGCCCCGACACTCGCGCAAAAAATATTGATTGGCTGATTGTATTTCTATGCAGCCTGTCTCCTGACAGTTGGACTTGGACAAGGGCGCACTTACTGCCCAGATCTCTAGTAATATCTGCCTAGGAAAGGTGGAAACAGTCAATATAAAAGATGCACTCAGCGTTGAAAGACATCTTGGGGTTAAACGCAGTTGTCGTGGTCCTGAGTACAGTATAGCAGACTTACTGAATCAATGGGATTTCCAAAAGTGTTAATTTAACAAATGTTAATCATTAAGTACATATGATCTAGTTGGGATCAATAAATGGTTTTGAGTCCTTTTCTGCCTTTTAAAAAGAGTTTAAGAATTTTCATGAATAATAATGATAGGAATATTGTTATTGTTGCTGACACCTTCTTTTAAAAAATCTGCCTAAATTTTTAGACCTAAAATATACAAATATTGGAACTAAAAAGCAATAGAAACAAGGTACCTACAGTACAAAAATATACAACGCTCCAACACCCCTCCCCCAATAATGTTTTTATGTAGCCTGATCCTCATGCATATTTCTTTGGGCTTGAGATGTAAACTTTACCAAGATCTTACTCCCAAGTAAGCGAGGTAGGAACTGCAACATTGAATCACAGTCTTATCCAGTCAGGCCAATTCACTGAAAAATACAAGTTAGTAGTAACTACAGATGAGCTACTTGATGATGCAAACTGTGTGTTTGAATTCTGAATTTTGATAGGATTTTATGTCTTTGGTTTGTCCTGGTTTGCTTAGGTTTTTCCAGTTAAAACTCATTCTGATTCAGAATCGGAACAAGGCAATAATGTTGCTGTGCTGAACAGAAGTAAATTGCTGGATTTTCTGCAGTCAGATGAAGACTTAACACCTACCTCAAATTCAGATGAGGAGTTATATCAATCACTTCAGGATCTCAAAAGGAAAAACAGACAGTGTTTGCTAGAACTAGGTCTCATGTACCAGGTACAATTGGAAAACAACCACGAATCATCCAAGGAAGAGAAAGAACTAGAAGACATTTTCCAAGGCAATGGAAGATTATTATCATCAAAGTTCTATGAAGAGTTAACGTAAGTTGCAACAGTGTATTTTGTTTTTCTACGGAATTGATAAATTTCACTGGAGAAATAAAGATGAAATGGAAATTAAGATGAAGATTAATTCTGTATCATGATAGGCAGAACATTTTCACTGTGGACTTAAGCAAAAGTAAAATCTATAAAACTAATGTATTTTTTCTAGTGGGAGCTTTCATGGACTACAGTCTATTGCTTCAAAAACAAATGTCAGAAAAAGTGAATTATAATCTCCAATTATTTGCATTTAAATAAATATACTTGTCCTAAAAGTGCCGCTGTACTTTTCTTTTTTCTTGGAACAGAATAATATGGCTACCTCTCCCAAGTGTTTAGACTTGATTGCCATTACTAGATACCAATGAAAGCTTGCCTTAGCATTGAAGTATGTGTTAAAAATATACTCAAGTTCTTTCATGTAATCAGAATAAAAATATTTTCAAATGTTATTATTTATCTTATGCATTCAGCCTTGATAACATCTATATCTTATTCTTAGATCTGGTAACACAAAGCGATTCAACTCTTTGACTGACCTCACCATAGATAGCTCAAAAGATGAGCACAATCTTTCACTTCCTTCGTCCTATTCAAAACCAATGAGTGCCTCCGGCACATGGATCTCTTCTATCACTGTTCCTCAGCCCTTCAAGATGACACTTCGAGAAGCTCGCAAAAAGTCTCAGTTATTTAAGTCACATGCATTGCTTGAACTTGAGACAGCCATGTTCAAAAGGCAAAGCCAAGAAGAAGCTGAATGCCAGAAACAATTCAGGGCCCAACCTGTGCCTGCACACGTCTATCTGCCACTTTATCAGGAAATAATGGAAAAGAATGAAATTCGTAGACAAGTGGAAACACAGAAGAGGAGGGAGCTACTCCTTTCAATGCAAAAACCCTTCACCTTTCAAGAAAAAGAAGAGAAGAGAAAGGAAGCTACCAGACATAAGATTCTGGACATACTGACTTCATCTAAGAAAGCAGCGCCTAAAGTCAGGAAGAAAATCCCAAAGTCTGCCTTTGAACCAATGCTTGGGGATAAACTTAAAGGTGAAGAGCTTAGAGTGTCTTCATAAGGAAAGTCATGTTTGACTGTCCTAAAAACAGATAGCGATAATATATTCCCTTTTCTGAGTGAGAAAAAGACACTGCTACACAGATTTAGGGTTGATTAGAGAACTGCAAGAGCAGGAAAATAATTCTACATATTGCAGAGTGGATCAAAAATGATGATTTGAAAAAGAAATTAAAAACAAAATTCTAAATTTTAAATCAGATATAGTTTTAAATCAAATTTTTAAATGAAATCCCTTTGAAGGAAAATCTAAAGATAGGTTTCTATATAAGATACATTATAGTTCAAAGGTTATTCAGCGTGAAATAGAACTTAGTTTTGTAGCATGAAGCTGTATAATCTGGATCAAAAATGATGATTTGAAAAAGAAATTAAAAACAAAATTCTAAATTTTAAATCAGATATAGTTTTAAATCAAATTTTTAAATGAAATCCCTTTGAAGGAAAATCTAAAGATAGGTTTCTATATAAGATACATTATAGTTCAAAGGTTATTCAGCGTGAAATAGAACTTAGTTATGTAGCATGAAGCTGTATAATTATGCAATATTTACATTTTAATAAACTTAATTCATTTAATCCAAGCTATCCAGGCTGAGTTAACATGCATTTTTTTCACAGTATAAAATTAACAAAATTCAGGAAAAAACCTTAATCCCATTGTTCTGTAAATCTATGTATAAACAATTAACACATTTATGTTTAAGCAAATACAAAAATATTTATGCTATATAATATTATTGTTTTAGTTAAATAAAACAATTTAAGTAATTCTGCAAATATGAATGATTAACCTATTCTACTAAAATTTGTTCAGATATAGCTGTTTTACTAATCTGACAGATTATTATTCTAAATATTAAATCTTCATCTGGTTGCAAATATTAAGATTATAACCACCAGCAAAAATGAGTCTTTACATTTAGAAATCATGATTTTAATCGGCAAATATTAAAGATTATAACCACCAGCAAAAATGAGACTTTACATTTAAAAATCATGATTTTAATCAAGTCTTACTAAGACTCGTTTAAATCGTCATTAAATTGTGATTTAAATTGACTTGATTTAGATCAAATCCACCCTGAATATTGTAAAGTATGTTCTACTAGAACAGCAAGTCGGACCTAGAAGTTGAATTGGCAAAGAGAGAACTCTGGATCCATTAGCAGGCACTTACATTTCACTATATAAATTTTAAAAGCTTATATAATTATGGCTTGGCACTAATAGATGAATCAGGATGGCTACCGGATTTGGGGATCTCGTGGTATGAAAACATTAATTACCACAGTTAACTATTAAGGGCTCAAAATATTTAGGGCAGATATGTAAAAAGGATACCAGTATCCTGCATCCAGATTGTGTAAACAAGTAAAAATATGCAAATAACTTTGTATTTAGGAACTTGCCTTATACTGGGTCAGAGTATTTTTCCCTCTATTCCAGTATTGTCAGTAGGGTATCAGGCTGGAGGTATTCCCCACTAGTAACTGTCAGGGCTTGAACCTGGGTCTTCTTGCGTGCAATGTATATGGTCTGACGCTTAGCTACAAACAATTTGGTCACTTTCAAATACAGTACAATGACTGAGTGCAATTGGAAAAGAAAATTACTAATTTATACTGGGAAATATATCTTGTGTAATCAGTTATGTAGATACCCAGTTTGGTTTACTGGATAGAGTGATGGAACACAACTCAGGAGCCCTGGGTTTGAATCCCTGTTCAGCCATGGAAGCTCAGTAAGGGAGTGGGACTGGTCAAACCGCTTCTTTCAATATCTCACTTGCCTTGGAAGCCCTGTTAGGTTCACTTTAAGTCAGTTCAGACTTGGCACATAACAACCAATTGTATATTTGGTAAAGGACATTTCACTTACGTGATTTCAAATACTTTAATCACTGAATTGTAAACAGATCTTATAAGTTTTTATTTGGTAATTTGTTAAGCTATTAACACTTACTACGATACTGATTTTATTTTACCGTATCCAGATTTGCATATCTTTTCCCAACTTGGATGTTCATTACTTTTGCTTTCAATCCATAGAAGCTGAACTCTTAAGAAAAATCCGCATTGAGATGAGAGCCAAGGATTTACTGGAAAGTTCCTGGGCTCCTATTGAGCTTGGCAGTAGACAAAGGGATAATGAATCCCGAATTGCTTCCAGAAATAAGGAACAAAAATTGAGTTTTATACACAGGAACTTCAGTTTTAAACCAAGAATTAACACATCAGTGCCTGACTTTGAAGGACTTCACTGGGCCTTCCAGAGAGAAGCGTTATGCAGGCGAGAAAATAAAGAAGCAACTCATAATAAACCCTTCCATTTGAGAACATCTAATCTTCATTGCAAACATCAGGAGATGATGGTAAAAGGGATTGCTTTTAACGTCATATTTCTTTATTATGTCGTGTGTGAATTTCTCTTTGCTATGAAAAGCCTGATATACTTTACCATCTATGTACTAGCCACTGGATAATTTTAGACAGAATTAGGAACAAATTTCTTGTGAGGCAAGACAAAAAGAGCCATGATGATATTAATATATGCTTGAATTCTGATGCTAGTGTTGCTGTTTCTGTTATTACAGTACATGTTTTCTATTGGGGGGAAAAGAGTAGAAAGGAGAAGAAGAGATCTATTTCCAGTCTCAGCAGAGCTGTCCTAAGAAGGGCTTGGAGTGGTTCTTAGGACCAAGTGATTCGGGGAACCAATGACTTTTTCTGATTTTTTCTGCCTTCAAAAATTGCAAGATACATCTGTTTCATTGAAAAGATTGAAATATGTAAATGTAAATATGCACACAATATATTGGTTGAAATCCTGTTGAGTAACTGTGCAGGCATAAATGATGATGATTTATCAACCCACAATGCTACTCTTTAATTTAATTTAGTTGAAAGCTTCCTATCTCCTCCTCTTCAGATTCAGAGGCTCCTTGCTCTCTGCATGTGCCTGTCTATCACTCACTAAGTCAGATCCCAATTTATGTATTGGTAACTATGCTGGTGAATATTTTCTGCCCATTCCATTCTGCAACAGTCCCTCCGTTCTGTAAACAAAGGTAAGAGGGCAAGCTGAACAGGGCACATTGTATGAGTTGGACGGGTGATGTGATGGTTGGAATCCCAGCAAATCAAGTGGAGATGCTTTGAGCAGCAATCTAAAGCTGAAAATTTTGTGCTATAAAATGTGTGTTTTTTTCTATTTTGTTTTACTATGAAATTTATACAAATATATGATACAAATCATGGCAGATCCTTGAAAATGGCATTGGGCAATCCTGCTGAATAAGCTAGAAGGGGGAATACTGGATTCCCTGCTCAAGTGGGCAGAGGCATCTTTAGATAAGTGAGTTCTAGGTCATATCCATTCTTACTTAAAGCCAAAATGACTACAGTAAATAGAAACCATTGTATTTTGCACATACTGTACTATGAGACAAGACGGTTTAGCCTGCAGCGCCACCAAAGGGACGTGGTGGTGCTGCGGGCTAAACCGCAGAAGCCTGTGCTCCAGAGTCAGAAGACCAGCAGTCGTAAGATCGAATCCACGCAATGGAGTGAGCTCCTGTTGCTTGTCCGAGCTCCTGCCAACCTAGCAGTTCGAAAGCATGCAAATGCGAGTAGATAAATAGGGACCACCTTGGTGGGAAGGGAACAGCGTTCCGTGTCTAAGTCGCATCGCTGGCTCTATGGCTTGGAAATGGGGATGAGCACCGCCCCCTAGAATCGAACACAACTGGACAAAAATTGTCAAAGGGAACCTTTACCTTTACCTATGAGACAAGAACACTAACTGGAAGAAATAAATAATAGCTAGGAAAGGCCAGTAGAAAAAGAGGAAGCCTTAGCATAAAAAATTATTTTCACATGCATTATCAGATACTATACAGTGTATTCTTCACTAACAAGTATTCATAGCACAGGCCCTTGCTCTTCGTAGTGGCCAGTTACATGTGAACTTTTTTTCCGAGATTTGTTTTTAGTAGTGGCCAGTTCTGGTAATACATGTGAACTTTTTTCCTAGATTATTTTTATTTTTTTCAGACCGTGGATAAGTGAATCAGTGGATACTGATCCCATGGATAAAGGGGTCCTACTGTATATAACAATTTTATACCTCTGTTCAAAGTACCTCCATCTGAGTTGCTGGGATTAAAGCCACCACATCCATCCACCCAACTCCAATGTGCTCTGTTCAGCTCGTCCTCTTATCCTTTGCTTTGTGAATGGGGGCACTATTGCAGAGTGGAGTGGGCAGGAAATCTTGCTTTCATCAGAAGAGCTACCAGTACCTAAATTTGGATCTGATTTAGTTATGAGAGAAAGGCGCATGCAAGATCAAGAATGCCTACATGTAAACCTAAAGTGAAGTAGTGTCTAAAAAGTGTTGCTTTTTTAAAAAATGAGCATGAAGTATTCTTTCTTTTAGGATTTTCAGAAGCCTTCTGAGGTACCAGTACGAAGAAGTCGGTCTATGACCTGTCTTTCATCCCTTTCCAGTAACACCCTTCCAATATATATTACAGATGCAGAGAGAAAGAGGAAGTTTGCTATTAAGTGAGTAATAAAGCATGCTGCTTTTATATACAGCACTCACAGTTTAAATATGCAGGCTACATGTTGCTCCCCATAGCAAGCTGGGTACTTAGTTTACCAACCTTAGAAGGATGGAAGGCTCAGTCAGCCTCTAGCTGGCAATTTGGGATTGAACCAGTGTATATTACAGATGCAGAGAGAAAGAGGAAGTTTGCTATTAAGTGAGTAATAAAGCATGCTGCTTTTATATACAGCACTCACAGTTTAAATATGCAGGCTACATGTTGCTCCCCATAGCAAGCTGGGTACTTAGTTTACCAACCTTAGAAGGATGGAAGGCTCAGTCAGCCTCTAGCTGGCAATTTGGGATTGAACCAGTGTTGTGAATACCAACCTTAGAAGAATGGAAGGCTGAGTCAGCCTCTAGCTGACAATTTGGGATTGAACCAGTATTGTGAATAGAGTTTTGTCTGCAGTACTGCAGTTTGACCACTGCACCATGAGGTTCCTTACTGTAATAATAATACCACAGGGAGGGGGCGATGATAACTTCCTGAATAGCTCAAGGGGGCGTTTCTTTCTAAAAGGTTAAGAACCACTGTTCTAGGTAATATGTTTTAAGATTATTTTTCAGAAGCTTTTTTCATAAAACATCATAAACATTTATAGGTAACAAGCTATTTCACCAGATGTGGATTTTCAGTTGGTGTACACAGAAGTAGAAAACTGATCAAGAGGACATTTTCTGGCCAGGTCAACTGATAATTTCCACTATCCTTTCCCATTTTAGCTGTTCATCAAAAGTAGGCTTTCAGATATGAAAGACAGAGATAAAAAAACTTCTAAAAAGTTAGTCTCAAGGTATCATTGAACATGTTTCTCTTTATTACAGAAAACTAACACAGCTTCATATAATTTACATGTTATTTAATTTAGAAATACAGTGGTGCCTCGCTTAACGGGCGCTCTGTTTAGCGATGAAACCGCATAGCAACGAAGATTTTGCGATCACAAAAGCGATCGCATTGCGATGTTTCCTATGCGGTTTTTTCACTTTGCGATGATTGGTCCCCGGTTTCGCTTACCGATCATCGCAAAGCGATGATTTTTTAACAGCTGATTGGCGGTTCCAAAATGGCCACCAGGTTAAAAAAATGGCCGCCCGCTGTGTGTAGGGACGGATTCCTCGCTTAAGAGGCAACGAAAATGGTCGCCCCTATGGAGGATCTTCACTTTAAGGTTAGTTTTAAGCCCATAGGAACGCATTGAAGGGGTTTCATTGTGTTTCTATGGGCTTTTAAAAATCGCATAGTGACGAAATCGCTTAGCAGCGATTTTTGCTGCACGGATTAATGTCGCTATGCGAGGCACCACTATACTGACTTGAGTGTTTAGAGGAAGGTTGATTATTTCATTCTGAAACACATTTAGGAACGGAAGAAGCTGCCTTTTTAGTGTGTCAGATTATTTGGCCACCTACCCCTGTACTGTCAACTCTGATTGATAGCAGCTGTCCAGGGTTTCAGGCAAGATTCTTTCTAAGTCCTGTCAGGGGAACCCTGGTCATCTTCTATGTAAGTAGTAACCAGGCCCAATTCCATTTAGCTTTTCAAAATCAGCCAAAGTCAGGTGGGTTCAGCATGTTTTATATGTAACTGTCTTTATAGACTCCGCCAAGAAAATAAAAAGCACAAGGAAAATGAAAGTGTTCGTTGGGCAGAGCTACAGAGAAAAAAAAGTCAAGCTATGCATCAATCTCTGAATTCCCGAGCAAAAGCAATGGATCCCCATAAAAGCTTGGAGGAGACTTACAAAGAAAAGCTGAAACAAAACTGGTCAGTATTCTGATTGTCATACAGTAGATGACAAGATATTATAATGCATCTTCCAATCAATCAGTCAATCAATCAGTGGTTTCTAGATTTTATATATATATAATCCTGATTATATATCAACCCTGATGTTGGGAAAGTGTGAGGGCAAGAGGAGAAGGGGATGACAGAGGATGAGATGGTTGGACAGTGTCATCGAAGCTACCAAGATGAATTTGACCAAACTCGGGGAGGCAGTGGAAGACAGTGGCCTCTTGTGTTGTTGGAAAAGAGTGTTTGTGATGACCAGCTTGTTCTCTTGACTAAACTCTATTAGCCTTTGCCCTGCTTCATTTTGAACTCCAAGGCCAAACTTACTGTTGTTCCTTTTATCTCTTGACTCCCTACTTTAGCATTCCAGTCCCCTA